AAAAAAAAAAAAAAAAGACTACAGTGAAATAGATTTTTGTTACTCAACTTGTTCTTTCTAAAAATTTAGAAGATCCATATATATATATATAATTAATGGTAGCTCTTGAAAGACTTAATTTAATAAAAAAGTTTAGTAATTTTTATATTTTTTTGTTTTGTCTATCATCTCTAAATATTTTTAAATTCATTTATTATCTTTTATTTTTATTTCTGTTTAGTTTAAATTGTTAATTTTCTAACAGTAGTTTCATTCTGTTTGATTAAATTGATTTTTAACTATATTTATTTGTGCATTTTACTTGTTGGAATTAATTTTGAAATAAAATTAATTTTGTGAAGATAATAAGTTCCTTTTCATCGTCTGAAAAATTATAACTTTTATCATATACTATTTCAATTTTTTTTTGACAATTTTCTTTTATAGCAAAAATAATAATTATTGACATGTTTTAATAGTTTACACAATTTGTCATAAACTGCTTTATTGGCTGAAATTACTTTGTTCTAATTTTAATTTAACTTTTTGTTATTTTTCTATTAAAACTAATAGAAGTTTTGTACATTAAACTATTCTAAAATATTTTACAAAATTTATAGACTATTTAAAAAAAATTAACTTTCTAGACTAAAATCAAATTAAGTTAATAGTTAATAAGCTAATCATTGAATTAAACTCTCTTGTAATATAACCTATGGGATAACTTTTCTCTAATTAAAATATTAATAAATTATAAATTAAATGGGATTTTAGATTTAATTATTAAATAAATGAATGAAACAATTGAGAGTTACAATTGAGTTTCATTCACACATTATCTGTGTATGTAGGCAAGAAGCTAAGTACAACCAACTTTTTTTTTACGCCCCCTAATTAAGAAATCTTTAAGAACTAAAATTGAATTAAAGAATATCTAAAATTTTGTTCTTACCTAATTCATAAATATATTTTATTTCAGCTTTATGGGTTCTTCCTCTTACAATTGGATCAATACAAAATTATACTTTCTCGCATTAGAAAAAAACAAGAATGTTGAAAATATATATCTTGACTTTTTTGCCTACTTAATTTTTCATTTTGATTTTGGAATGAGTTGGGGAGAAATTTGAAAAATGATGTTTAATGGATTTCTTGAAAGATGAAAACCATGGTATGGTGTTTTGGAATGTCTGCTAATAGGATTGATATATATTTTTTAATTTTCCAGTAAAACCTGTTTAAGTGTAGGGATTAATTTTATTTAAAATTTGAAAAGTATATGCACTAAACCATGATTTAACTATTTCCTTTGACTGCCGTGATCAGATTTTTAAACGAGTTGTAGCGAAAGCGTTAACGAAGGATTAATTTGCTTATATCCCAAAGTTAAGGGGCTTGTAAGGACAAAAAATAGTTTAGGGGCTTTATGTGCGAAAATGGGTTAGTTTGGCGGCTTATGT